GGAGTGCATTCGTATGTTCCGAGATCAACATAGGGGATGTTGTCATGGATTGTCAGATCGATGCGTTCTCCATTCTTCGTAATCATGAAAGGCATCTGAGCAGATGGCCATACGAAGGAGTATCCTTCTTCCATGCATCGTTTCCCAAGAGACATCACAGACGGAGTGTCGTCCAGTACATAAGCATGAGATGTCACATCAAAGGTTCCCAGGTCAATCTCCGCTTCCGTTTGAGTAGCAGTTGAACCATTGGCGGTGTGGAACATGATAGGATCACAAGTTCGCTGCTTCAAGTTCATCCTTTCAGCTTTCCTTGCAGAAATCAGGTCGTGTCCGCTGCCAGAATCCAGGATGAATCTGCGATCTTTGGCTTGCACTGGTAGTGAAATGCACATCATATTCTTGGACTTCACGAGGGATTTTCCAACTTCGTGCTCAACAAGCTCTTCAATAAAAGTCAAGTCATCACGATCATCGTCTAGCTTGATCAACATGTCGAACTTGGGGCCGATGATGATTCTAACTTCATCAACAAGACGATGAGGTCCGCATCTATCCATGACGATAGCTTTGGCCCGTGCTCGGACTGAACCGAGGGTGTTGTCGGACTTGGACTGATCGTCGGTCAAATCATCGACCTTCCAGAAGACATACTGCTTGTTGGGGTCGCGATACATACGCTGGGGTAATCCCTCCTGGTAATTCTCAATGGCAATCTCGTGCACTTCAGGTTCCAGCTCAAAAGAGATCCTGCGATCATCAGAAGACTTCTTTGCGCTGGCTATCCTCGGTGAGGTATAATCCAAAGAATCTTCATTGTCGCTATCAAAGAAGGAATCAATGGTAATGGGAGTTGCTTTCTTCTTTGGTGTCTTCTTGCTGGTCTTCTCTGATGATGCTGAAGGCGACTGGTCTGCATGTAGGAATTTACATTTGTTCCCAAACGTGCAGGTACCCTTCTGCCAATTCCAACATACCTTCTTTCTGGGTCCAGCTGAAGATGAACTTCCTTTACTTTTCCCCCTTGATGAATCTCGACTTCCGCTTCTGCCTTTCTTCCCTTTCATCTTGGCATCATAGACCTTCTGAGAATGACTGTAAAGACATTTGTCACCTTTGTTGCATCCTCCTTTATTGAAGAAGTAATTGCAAAAAATCTTCTTCTTGTCAATGGGTGAAGATGATCTCCCCTTCCCACCTTTGCCTTTCTTGTTGTTCTTGTCGGCATGAGATTTCGGAGAAGGTGTTGGGAGTACTGATGCAGCTTCACTCTTCGCCTTTGCTTTAGGTCGCTTGGGAGGATCACCTGTAGACGATGCAGCTGCTTCATTCTCCTTCTTGGTCTTGATAGGAGCAGCAGGCTTGTCTGCATCTTCCAGAGCAGGTGTTGTCTTGTTAGAGGACAATGACAGTTTCACTGCACGTTCTCTATCTTTCAACAGTCGTTCTTGCTTTCCTCGCGCTATGTATCCTTTGATCATATTGGTCAGAAATTCATAGGTCTTTTCAGGATGCCCTTCATCGTAGGTTTTGTATCGGCTGATATCGAAAGACATAAGCTTTGAATGTTCAATCTTCCGGAACAATGTGTCACGCAGGGAATTTGCAGAAGGCAGATCATCATGTTTCATGTTGTATATGATGTCAAGCCACTTGTTGTAGAAGGCCTCAAGTTGGTCATCTCCATAGTAATTGAACATGTACAAATGATGGGCGTTGTAGAGAACCTCAGTATGGTCAGGCGACTTGAAGCTAATCAAGACCATTGCGAATAGTTCTCGTCCCTTGATGAAGTCCCCACTCCTCCCATACATTTGGTTCTTCATGGACATGTCATACTTCACTTGCATGGATTTGTCCCCAGCATTGTCAATGACTTTCCTCAAGGCATTGGAGAGCTTGGCATCAATGGATTGGAATCTCACATCGGGTGCTTTGGCCAGAGCCTCCAAGTCAGGTTGATCTGCAAGACACGGAGCTAGCCACGCTTTCCAATCTTCATAGTTTCGATCTCCACTTGCAACACAAACTTCATGAACAACACTTCCCTTCCAGGATGAAAGTTCAGTGGTCTTAGGCCAAGGTTGGAGACTGATCTTTTCGGCTTCCCTTAGAGATACGGATGACTTAGATCTATCCTTCTCAAGGTTCTCCAACTCCTTGACATTGGTGTTGTACTCATTTCTGAGCTTCTCGAAGGCTTCAGCTTCTGCTCGGTATTCCTGCTCTTCATCGTTGGCACGATCTTCAGCTTGAGAGAAATTGTTCTTGTAGTAATCTTTCCGATCTTCCATCTTCTTTAATTCATCTTGAAGATTTCGAACTTCAGCGTTCCTCTCTTGCTTCATCTCATCCAACTCTGCTTTCAGTTTGGCACACTTCTCTTCACATTCATTTCGAGGCATAGCACTACTGGGGTACCCAAGTAATGTAGCCGGTCTATTCAATGATGAAGAAGAATAAGCCTGGTTTTCTAATTTCAGGGCAGCAATGGTGCTCGACATCTCTTCTACTTCGGCGAAACGCTCACTAGCCAATTGATGCATCTCAGTTAAGTGGCTCTCAGGAATGGAATAGTCAGTCGCACCTTTGATCACGAGTCTTCTATCGTTCAACATCTTGATAGACTTACCTGCATCCCTGTGAGCACGCTCAAGAGAATCTTTTTGGGCTTCAAGTTCAGTATGAAGGCGAGCAATGGCTGTATCCCTGTCATTGATTTCATTGTGTAGATCATCGAACAAGTTACTCGTCACATTCGGATTGTTGCTCATGTGGTCGATCCTGTTCAGAGCATCTTGATACTTCTTACCAGTTTCATCGAAATGTTGTTGAAACGTTTTGAGTAGGTTCTCCGTGTCAATGAGTTCAGTTCTGTTCTGCAAGTACAACTTGTCAACTTCAGCCTTGGATTCCTTCAGGTTGTCACGTTCACGTACGGCTTGCATGTACATCTCATGTAGTAACCCTCCATGTGGTGACCTGCTTGGCGAGGATCTTCTGGCTTGTTGACAGGAAAGTTCATGATATTGATTCTTCGATTCAGTCAGTTGTTGTTGCATTCGATCTAAAAGACTTTGTTTCATGTGTAGTTCCGAACGTAGTCCCATTATCCTCATGTCCCGCATGCCACTTGATTCAGCTAGAGATTCCTCAGAAGCCTTGCTCTCAGAAGTCGCTAGTCGAGATTGTAAGTTCTCATTGTGAATCACCTGCAATCGAAGTTGTGATCCTTCCAAAGCCAAATGATGTTCACATTCTGCATAACGGTCATGTTCAGATCTTATGTTACTACGGAACTCCTTCATGATCTCGTCCCTCTTCATGTCAGCAGCATCGAGCTCAGTTTCCAGTCGTCTAACGTTCATGGCCATGGTGTGCTTCATTGTCTGGTTTTGATTGGCAACTTCGAGCATCTCGATCTGTAAAGCACATGTCTGGTCATTAGCATAGCCGACCGCCAGAGCTTCTTGCTTAGCGTTCATCTCTGCGTTTTCTAATTCCAGTCTGAGTTGATTGATGTGAGCATTGGCATCAGCGCCCACATGTACCATAATTGCGTTCGCTTGTCCCATTTGTTCATCGAATTCCGAACGTAGTCGTGAATATCTAAATTCTAAATGAGATGCAGCTTCATTCGACATAGTCTGATACCTCTCCAACTCTTCGATCCTGTAGGTTGCACCTTCATCTTCTTGTTGTGCAGCCTGCAACTCAAAGTTCAGCATCTGGAGTTGTTCGGTCATCGACATCATTTCTTGATGAGTGGTGCTTTCCAGGAAATTAAATTGTTGATAGGCATATGCTGTCGTCTCAGTCAATCTTGCCTGAAGTACGGATTCTTCTTCAGTAGCCTTTTCCAGTGATGTCTTGTATTCAGCTAATTCGCTCTGATAGGCAGTGAAGATGTCGCTACCACTTGATGGGGCGTTCACTTGTTGATAAGATCCTGTCCCTGATGGAGTAGCATCCTGAATCGGTGAAGGCGGATTCGACGACGTAGTCTTTGCCTTAGTCCTTGGAGTCATCGGAGGCGACAATTGTCGTGCAGATGATCTTCTCTTTCCAGGTGTGCTGTCCCTATCTTCAATTGCTTGCATTGTCGAAATTTGTCTCCCTCTAGGAGCAACCAGAGGTCGTCTGGGTAGGCTCGTTCTCAGTTCTGAGGCATCGCTTCCACCAGTGTCGATACTCTGTGAAGAATTTGACTGCGTGCCGGCAGCTGGTGCAACGGCATGTCCAGAGAAAGAAAATGCGTTATCGCTGCTATCCTGTTCAGTCATCTGTAAGGCCCGCGGCTACCCGCTCGTAGGCTCCGTAGGAGTCCTACGGCTGATAACCTGTGAATCGGAGGTTCTCTCCCCGATATGTGCTTTTGATAGTTCCAGAATGTGAATGCTTTCACCAGTGATGACCCAGGATTCGCGGCTTCGGCATGGCTGTCTTTTTCCCTTAGAGCTTGCAGTGATCTTGAGCCAAAAGGGGCATTAGATGCAACCCTTTGGCTCTGGATGACTAAGGGTCATTTACAAGGGAGTATATGTGGTACTGTAGCCTAGCTCCCATTCGCATATTCATTATATATATATTCATTATATATATTATATATATATATATTCATTATATATATATTATATATATATATTCATTATATATATATATATATTCATTATATATATATATTCATAATATATATATATATTCATAATATGTATATATATTATGAATATATATATATATATATTTATATTCAAATATATATATATATATGTATATTTATTCAAATATATATATATATTCATTATATATATATATATTCAAATATATATATATATATTCAAATATATATATATATTCAAATATATATATATATACATGTTCAAATATCTATATATATATATTCATTATATGTATATATATATATATGCATACATACTTACATAGTCACGATTATCCTAGTATCCACAATCATTTATACCGATCACTATTCGTCCGCGGCCTCATCTTCTTTTAAGGATCTCAAAGACCAGTTCCACATTCGATCGGCCCATCTCCTGCCGAAGGTAAGGGACTCCAGAAAGTCATGTTTGATGACACCGGAGGATATCCAAGGTGAGCTCCACCTTTGCCTCATCAAAACACATCGACACCAACTAGATCATGGGTGAAAAAAAGCATCCACTTTGCCTAGTTTTTGCTGGATCACCCTTCACAACTCGACCCCCTGGATTCCCGCCGATAAACACACCCCTATCCGATGAACCCCCTGGTCCTGGATCGCATCCAATCCATATCTCTGTTGTATCCCCCATCTGATTATCATCTTTACCCTCAGTCTTGTCGCTTACATCCCCATGTTCATGGTTGAACTTCCACATGTTATGCGGGTTGAATCCCTATCCACACCTCGAAGGCCGGGGTCTTGGAGACCGCATCGAAGTTTCTTAAGATAAAGTCCATGCCTCGATTTTTTTACGGAAAACTGAGTGAAAGTTGCCGAAAAATGGATTGGTTGAATTATGGTTGAATTGTTTGGGAAAATCTGGAAACCCGAAATGGAATGGGGTTTCCGGTTATCAGATGTTCCCATCATCCAATGCGATTTCACAATCTGAAGGGTAAACAAAATGATCAATTTTCGATCATTTTCCTTGAGAATCCAAAAGACACTGAAATGGTGTGGGATGGTGGGACTGTCTTACATATGTGCCCAAAGTAAGCCCATATTGGCTGATGAAGCGAGATCTCTGAATTCCGGCGCGGAAACGTAGTTAAAATATGTGGAGTGTTGAAATTGATCATCTTAGTGTTTAACTCTGCCTATACTCGATCGCAGGTGCGAAATATCCAGATGGCTCTTCCATATCGCGGAGTTATTATCAAAATTGCACAAACCAAATGTGGCCATGCCAATGGCACCAATCGAATCTGCCACTGGATTTTTTTTGCTACCAGGCTCCCGTGCAACTCTGCCGCAAGTCATTCGCGATGTGCATGTTGGCTGCCTGTGCCACAAACGTCGCTGGTGAAGTTTAGATGATCCAACAGGTTATCGCCCCCCGCATCGAAACTGGCGCCCCCACCTGAAGGATTGTAGCAGCCGAATCGATATTGATTGAAACAAGGATCTTCTTCTCACATAACCTGCAGTCAGAACCGCGTGCCAGGATCGACAAGTTACTCTGTGGTAACTATAGGAAACACTTCACCAAAAACGGGATGGTCTACCGAATTGAATAGTACCACAAAAGAATATTCAAAAAGAAAGCTAATCCTCATGAAGCAAAATTAATCAAGATCTGTTTTTTAGATCCTCAAACCGCTTCAGTTTCGACAAAATTTAATCATGGCACTTGGAACCTCTCATCTTTGATGACCTGAAAGAACCTGAGGTGCCAACCACTACCCTGCACACACATCTGGTGTCTTTCGCTAGCTTCCAAACTAGGTCATTCAATAACTCCAACAACCATTCAGAACTTGGATGTCATCATTTTTTAACTGAGTTGCCACACAGTTCGAAGGGTCAATCCAGTTGAGCTCAGTTGTAAAGGATGTTCCCCTCTAAAAAATAAAAGGGTGTTTTTCCCCTCCAGAAAATCTCTGACTTTCATACAGATTCAAAAGAAGAAAACGTCCAGAGTATTGCATTATATTCTTGACAAAATCCAAAGGAAAACCAAGAACAAATACAAACAAACATCAGAAAAAACATCAGAAAGCCATGGAAAATCCTGAAAATCATGAAAAATCATCGAAAATCTCTGATTTCACCATGTTTTTTGCACGAACCAATCTCTGTCCCAACATCACCAGTCGTTGCGACACCACCTCTTGAGGCGTTCGATGCCGAACTGGTCTGCCGCCACGAAGAGGTCCATGGCCTTGGTTGGTGGTTTTAACCTGCCATTGTGGTGAATATACTGTTAATATATGGTTAATATATATGGTTATATATATATATATATGGTTAATGATGGTTAATGGGATTTTACTGGGATTCCATGGTTAATAATGGTTAATGATAGTTCATGATGGTTAATGATGGTTAATGGGATTTTAATGGGATTTCCATGGTTAATAATGGTTAATAATAGTTAATGATGGTTAATGATGGTTAATGGGATTTTAATGGGATGTCCATGGTTAATAATGGTTAATGATGGTTAATGGGTTTTTAATGGGATTTCCATGGTTAATAATGGTTAATAATGGTTAATAATGGTTAATAATGGTTAATAATGGTTAATAATGGTTAATAATAGTTAATGATGGTTAATGATGATTAATGAGATTTTAATGGGATGTCCATGGTTAATAATAGTTAATGATGGTTAATGATGGTTAAGAATAATATATACTGGTTGGTGGTGCAATAACCATCTTGAAAAATATGAGTTCGTCAATGGGAAGGATGACATCCCATATGTTATGGAAAATAAAAAATGTTCCAAACCACCAACCAGTATATATATATGTACATATACGTCTTATATCTATCTATATATCTATAATATTAGACATAGCAAGGGACAAACGTATGTACAATGTGGGAAAATATGATGACATAATGGTGATTATTCATGGTGATTCTGTTATCATATAATATATATATATGCTTGTAACCCCCAAACAGATCTTTAAAAATGACTTTTCACTATCTTGATGGGATGTAGTGTTCTATCTTTTTGGAAGTTGCTATAATGAGACAATAATGGTGCCATGGTCATATCATGATAATAACGATTGAAACGAAATGGTGCCATAAAGGGGAGAATTCATCGAACTAAATGGGCCATGGCTTCCAGATCACCTTTTCTGCGAAGCAAATTACCGGAGGGTGACTTGAAATCCTACTGGATGTATCACTAGAAAGCGGATTCATTTTGATGTCGAGTGGTTTTGCCCATCTTTCGCCATCTTTTGCTAAATCCTCACCCTTCAAGGTAAGATGTGGAGAATCCACCATAAACTTACCCTCTGGTAATTTAACATAGCGAACTGGAAAGATCCACCATGCTATTAATGGGAAAATCCACTATTTCGACTGGGCCATGTTCAATAGCTTTTTGTATGTTTACCAGAGGGTAGACAGTGTGTCAAAACCTTGTACCCCTGGTGAACATCAAAATAGCTGGTAAATGGATGTTCATCCCACTAAAATGTATCTATAGGTATTGACCCATACCCAGATCATTTTCTAGCTTTCCCTATGGGAAAAGCCACATCGGTCCGGTGTTTACCGTGTAAAAACCCCCTGGCACTGAGGTGCAGACGATTTCCATGGAGATCTCGAATTCGTCGGTGTAAAGATACCTTTTTTGGGGATCAAAAACCACAGAAGTCATGGAACTTTCACGAAATAGTTGGTGAATGAATATGTAAAACCAAAAGAATATGTATCAATGGAATCATAGGTTTTGACTCAAGAGTTGATTGGGAGCAAACCAGGAGATAGGCAGGGCCGAAAAGTAGGGGTAAGTCATTCTTCGGCCCGTGGACTTCGCACCAAACGCGGGTGTTCACCAACATCCATCGAAATCAGCAAGGCACTCCAGCAAGGCCAGGAAGACCCGGTGCGAGACGTTGTTGATGGTGATGGTCTTCTGTTGGGCCTCCCCATTCTGACTCCAACATCACGGGTCTTACCAATTTTGGGGCTTTGTCCATCAAAAAAAATGATGTTTACCACCATTAAATGTGGATTTCACCTGATTTAACCATGAAATATTGGACTTTTATCGGTGATACGGTGATACGGTGATACCCTCTGGTACTCCACCAAAGCTGAAATCTGGAGAATCCAGGAGGACAATCAGCAAAGGGAAAAATGATCCCAACAGCCAGGTTAGATTCTCCCATTGTTTGATGCTTGGTTCAACCCATTGATGATATGACCAACAACCATGAGACTTTCCCATGGGCGCAGGTCACCAGCCAGGAGAGGACATCCACGGCTCTAAGGTTGGGACCCGAGAGTCCCAGAAGTGGTGAAGTGGGGGGTGGTCTGTGGATAGGCCAGGAGATGTTTTTTTCCTTGTCCTAGACCATCAGAGACCGTCAGATCACATGTTGCTTAGATTTGAAAATAGGGTGCACTGAAAACCCAATGATTTAATCATGTTTTCAAGTAGCCTTTAGTAAAAAATAAATGACATAACTTGGGGTAGCCGTAAGACCCAGCAGTTGATCATTGTTCTCCTCATCAAAAAGCATAAGGGGTAAATATTCCCCATTTCAAAACCAAAAAAAACACGCGAGTCAGACTTGCGCTTCACAATTCCGCCTGCCTCCCGCATCTGTCCGTCAAACATGGCGCGGAAGTAGGAGCATCGCATGCAAAGCAGCTTGTGCGCATAGACCTGGAAGGGAGCCAGGGCGTCCGGCAATTTTGGTTTCTCCAATCAATTTGTCTCAAAAATTAGGTGCCCCAAAATTTGACGGCTAATCATAATTTGCCCCATCAAAATGAATGCTTTGAGGTATCCCCCAGTTTACCCACAAAACCTACCACACCAAGGGCCACACAGCTTTTCCTTCCACTATGAAGGTCACGTCTGACCTCAGCTGCTTGGCGTGGCCACGAAAAATAAACCTGGCCATGGAAGCCATGGCCCATGGCTAGTTCGATGATTTACCTAACTGAAATGGTGGAACTTGCCATAGCTATGTTGATTTACAAGAGAGTAATATGCCACATATACCTGTAAGATCCTGTAAGCACATTACAGTCAGCCCCACAGTATGTACATACGCTGATCTGCTGTATGTCTATATATATATATATATCGATGATTTAGCTTCATGCCTTTCTTATTTCTACGATTGTTGGCAATATATACACGGTACTTCCATTTTCCCATGACCACCATGGTAAGATCATCCTGGGTTGAGGGTCCTCTTGTAGGGCTGAACCGGGCTTCACATCACATCATGTTTCAACCACTAGGATGATCATCCATCATCAAATGTTCAAGGTATTGCTGTCTTAGGGGATGGCCATAATCTGCTTTAGATTCCATAGCATTCTGGCGACATTTCCATAGGCAATGAGATGATCCTCCCATATGTAGATTGGTTGACTGAGTCGATCCATTCTGCCCATATGTTAAATTATTGTTGGCTCTGTTCTCAGCATCCGATTGTTAGTGTTAACCAAGCTTGTACCGCCACGCCCCCAGAAGCCAGGCCAGAAACTTGCTTCGGGCTAAACACTGAGGTTTAGGATTCCTCATCAACCACCATGTTTCTAGCGGCTAGTTCATTCATCGGTAGTGACAAATCCACCACAAATCTGCCTGTTATCTGGCTGTTATATGCTCGATATGTGACAAATCTTGACTTCGTTGCCCTTCCCAATCATCATTTATGGTGAGGTGACCATGAGCGTGTGTTACAATCCACCCAAATATGATACATGGCTTTTGAAGGTCCTTTTCCCCTACTAAACACTTACAGAAACCTTCATATTTAGTTCCATTTGGATTCATTTGGTATTGGATCAGTTCATGTTTGGCCCCATAAAACATGTCCCATTCCGCACTGCTCATATCTTACATACATATATATATATATATATTATACATTACATATTCTATATATGTATCATATTATATATATATATATATCCATGTGTCCAATTCGTGCCTCGTTAAATCACCATTTTTTCGGACTTCCAGTGAATTCTTCAGCACCCCGCAGTTTGGCATCGTTCAGGAAGTCCCGGAGATCGGAGACCTTGACATTAATAGTGGTTAGAGTAGTAGTAGTAGTAGTAGTAGTAGTAGACAGTAGTAGACAGTAGTAGACAGTAGTAGACAGTAGTAGACAGTAGTAGACAGTAGTATACGGTAGTATACGGTAATATACAGTAGTATACAGCAATACACAATAGTATACATTAGTATACATTAGTATACATTTGTATACATTTGTATACATTTGTATACATTTGTATACATTAGTAATAACCATCATATCAACAAAATAATGGTATACATTACTAGTAGTGGTTGGCATTAGTAATAGTAATTAACCATCATAGTAACAGTATACATTAGTAGTACCTGGTTTTTTGTGGTTGACATTTAGTAGTAGTATACATTTATAATAACCACAATCGTAAGACTATGATGTAAATACCAAATGATAATGATAGTGAATAACATAATGGTATTATTCTAATATCAGTACAGTAATACAATATACTATATATATATATATCAACATTAAACGTATATCATGTTAGAACTATATACTATCACAATAATGATAACAATAGTGGTAAGAAGACTGATGATATTGATAAATAGTAGTAATAACAATCATAATGAGTAGCAATAGTAGTTATAGTTATGATTGTATTGATAGTAACGGTGATAATTGCAATAATGATCAAAAGACCACAAGGATAATAATGATACTAATAACCAAAGACTACAACAAATGCACTAATTAATAATCTTCCAGGTGTGACAACCATACAGTACCCAAAAATAAGTTGTTGGTTTATCACGCAAATATCGGCCCCCTTTTTCGCACCAAATGAGTTACCTCACGTCCTCCACTGAGGTCCGAGCCAATGAGCTGTTTGGGATGTCAATGTTCACCTCTGTCGCCAGTTTGAACCTCACGGTACATCCCAGGGATCGGAACTGGTGACAAAAAACTCGGTAAAAAACAGAGCAATGTAGGATAACCCCATGTATAACTGGAGTAAAATCATAGAAAATTGGATGGAAATGGTTGGAAACAAATGGGCACCAACTTTTTCGAAAAAAACATAACCTGTTTTTCTCAATTCTCGGTGATCCATTGCAGTTCCCTGGATCGGCCCAAGGCTCAGAGCCATTTATTTGACCGATCTTCAGCAACCAAACTGGGGACGTTTTCCGGAGCAAACAAAAGCAGACTACGCACCCAAAAAGATCATGAAAATCAGGTTAATCAAGTTGAAGAGATGGAGTTGAGATATAACTAGTAACTAGAACCAACCAAAAATGGGATAGGACCAGCAAAAACAGGGACACGAACCAAAATGCAAATGAATATATGGAATATTAGCCGCCAAAAATGGGGAGTTGACATGTTTTTTTGAGCACCGAATAACCTAATTTCAGGACGTCAACTTGGCCGTCTGAGGTCGATACAAAGCATCCAAAAAACAAGTCTGGTAAAATGGCAACCCTTCACTTACTGTATAATCGATGCTTGATTGAAATCAAAGAAACATCAATTTCAATGAGTGGTGAACGATTGCAATGTCAAATCTTGCTACAGCTTCCGGCCCAGCGGGCTATCTGGTGGCTCAAACATGCTCAAACTTGGGCAGGCTCCAACTACCAAACAGCAGAATCTCAGAAACACACTGCTGTCATAACCAGAATATGGGTATGTCCAGAAACGCAGAAATGGAATAGTGTACCTCCTTCAATAGCCAGAGAAAAATCATGAACTGGAGTTCTGTACATTTTAGCCACTTAACACTTGTGGTCTTTCCATCACTTTTCAAATCTGTTCGACAAACCTGGTGTTTCGTCCAAGCAGCTGCCAAAAATCATTCAGACGTTGCTGCCCGTCGTAGCCGCCAAAAACGTAGAGAGAATTGTTGTACCTCGGCAGCATCAAGGCAGCTGACAGGGCCAAGGAGCACATCGGCGAAAACGCGACATGCCAGCTACATATATATATATATACGTATATGTATATATATATATATGTATATACGTATATATATATATATATCATATATATATGTCATATATACGTATATATATATATGTCATATATATATATTACTATATTACATATTGTTTATATATATAATTTAGTTATATACATATCTTTACCTTGTGGATACATGTTCAAGTGATTCTTGCAAATGTCATTGGATTTGGCCCTGGTCTTTACTAAACGGGGGACCCTTTCGAATCCTGCCGACCAGATACACATCGCAGGTATGGCAGAATCCTCAGCAGAAAAGAGGCGCTGAGACCCTGGATTTGATCATTCCGCCCTCAAAGTCAGAGATTTTTGGTTTCAACATGTTTCAACCTACATATGATGGATATATAACCTACATATCACCTGTGAAACAGCTGCTGTGGACAGTCATCCCCCCAGCAACCGCCTGTCCTTTTTGGGATCCGATAGGTATTTGTTCACCAGCTCCATGCGTACATTGGGAATATCAACCGTCAAAAACGGGAATGAAGCACTAAAAACAGGAATGTTTGATAATGGTTGAAATCAAAAACAAGTCGGTGCTACTCAGTATTGACTACCCCTCAGATGGCCTGATGCTTATATATCCCCATTCTGGACGGAATTAGGCCATACAACTGTATTTTTCGTTACCCAACATAGGAAACGAACATAGATCTGGAAAACCCACCAGAAATGTACATCATATGCAGAACAGGAAGTTGTGTGTGTATTCTCCATCCATATCGTCTTGTCATCCCCATCATTAAAATCATGTCATTTTTTGTAATTGTAAATAACCATCATATCCCCATCGTACCGCCGTATTGTTTTGTTGTCCATCTCATTCTTTCTTAATGAGGAAAAAACATCGTCCATTTATGGTAGTTGTTCATGAGATAGAAAGATGTTTTCCATGCAACATAAAAGAAGGAAAAACTACCCATATCTTGCTGGTAATATTGGATTTAGATATTATCCATTAGATCTACCATCTTTTTATTTAACATAGCCATGGAAAATCACCATTTTTTATAGGTAAACCATCTATAAATGGGCCATCTATACCATGGCTATGTTAAATAACCAGAGGCTAGGTATTGTCCATTGATGGTGATGTTCCCTTTTTTGTCGTGTAATCCCGCATCTGAGTCTCCCGACGCGGGCACGGCACGTTCGCCTTTTGCGAAGCCCCGGGCGTGGGACGCACCTCGGGAAATTGCTGGTGTTTCACCAGCCATGGGTCTGGGTTTCCCGCCGCATTTTGAACAAGGGAAAATGGTGATATCATGGGCATATCATGGTATTATAATGGGGATAATTGGCGTGAATATCACCATTATATCACCATTATATCACCATTATATCCCATATGGTGGTGTGAAAAGTGTTTACAATTGGCCTTAAACTTAAACGGCCATCACATGATGGGAAAAAAGGATGATTAGCCAGTGAATGGAATGGGGTACAGTACCATAATCTTCCGACAAACCCATCGTCGTCGTCATCTTCTTCATCATCACGGCATCACTGCATCGCTGCATCGGTGGTTTGAACCCTAGTGACTGATGATGAGTTGGGTAAGATCTCAGCTTGTCAGTTTTTCTGAATTTTGGACAGACCAAACAAGCGCATTGCAGCAAAAGAGTAGACTATATCAATGTCTTTCCAGGCATTCGGTGGGTGGGGCGCTTTTCTACCAATTAAATTGCTCCCCACAGCACATCTTGATTGTCTTATGGGGGCTGAAATGCCAGATCACTAGACGATCAAATTTTACCACTTGAAACTCAACGGCAAGTTGGGGTATACTACACGCTTGGGCAAAACCCATGTGGATTTCCTTTGCAGGCAGCTCTGTCAAAATGTCAAAATGCCATCAAGCCAAGCTGTCCTCGCGCGACCGGAATCCTTCCACTCCAAACCAAGCCACCCATTTGGTATTGGATTAAGTCACAAAATCCTGGAAGCAACAAATCAGACTTGGATTCCAAAAACTTGTGGCCCAAGTTTTAAACAACACTTGGATTTTTTGGGTGTATCCCAAGGTATTTTTGGGGGGAGAAACCTCTCCCGATGCATGGCTCGAGATGCCCGACTTCAAGCCATTGTTCTGTTTCAAAGCTGAAGGCGTACCTGGGAGACCGGTTTTCCACATCGGAAGGGTTCCGAACTCGAACAAATCGCTTGGGATTGCCTGAAATATCCTTAAATCTACTGAATCTGCTGTTCCTAGCCGCTCATCCAAACGCCGGAAAATCCTGACGCCAGGTTCAAGCGTTCAAACAGCAACTGGGCAAGTCATCCCACAAAAGGGAAGACTACGGTGTAATTTATGGTTGTCTCATCAAAAATGGATGTCATCTGCAAGCACCGGTCCCAGAATAAGTTGTTGAGGTATGGCCCTTTCTTGGGCGAAATCAGGTTATCTCTCTATCATTCTCTATCTATCCATCTCTCTCTGTCTATTTTTGGCGCCACTAGACTACTGGTCCCTCAAACGTTTAAAACTTGCAACCCACAAAATCAGAATCGTTCAAATCGAACTTGCTATCAAGTAGGAGGCCGGAAGCCGTTTACCTCAATCCACCTGTGGATCTCACTAGCTTAACAGCTCAAGACATTGCCTTGATCTTTGGCAGGCTCTGCACATATCCACTGCTCGATGCACAGCCGCCAGCAACAACCTCACCTTCACTGATTGTTTTTTTTTGATACGACTATATGTTTCTTGGAATTCGTATTAGAAGACAAGTTTAGAGGAAACTCCTGCAACTCCTGTTTTTGATGGCCAAAGTTATCAGACCTTCCCAAGAAACAAGTCCAATGCATATGTTGAAAACTCGGGAAAGACAGTGGAACCCCCCCCCCCCGCAACCCCCGCGGAGAGAGCGCACAGATCGTTTCGCGCGCTGCCAGTGCTGCCACCAAAGAGGTACATAGAATCACCGCAGATCACCGCCTCAACGTGGATTTCAATGGGGAAATGGTGACAAAAATGGGGATCTACAGGGCTGTATAATCAACCATGTCCAATTGGGTCGCAAAAATAGGGGGATTAGATGGGATTAGTGATTAGCCCTTCATGGCAAAAACGCCGGTTCAATGGTTTTTGCGGATATCCTATTTTCACAGAAAGCCGTTTGGACAACGGGAACCTCTACAGAAAGATGGGGAGAGAGTGGACTGCTGGTGACCATGGATGGCTGTCATCCATGGGCAGAAACATGTTACTTCTCGTTTTGAAACTCACACTTTTTGGTATAACAACCATTCAGAAGAGTAAAATCCCACTAAAATAGTGATAGATTACTTGTTTTTATCTTTTTGGGGCTAGAGACTAGATTCTTGAACACTCCACGTCACCCTTGAAGTCTCAAACGTCTCGGCCGCGGACGGAATGGGAATCCCGGGGCGAAGGAGGTGGGACTTGACCAGTGGTCTCAACCAAGCTCCACCTGATTTGGCGTCGGTGTCAGCTTTTCGAGGGACGCTTTCGAGAATGGATAAGAACCGTCTGGTCCATATCCTTTGGGAATGGAAACATGATGAAAATATCATTGGTTCATATTTGTCATGAAAAACAGTGATAGTCCAATCACTTCGGATTCTTGGATTCTTGGCTTCAAGAACTTCAAGTTCGAACGAGAAATCAGCGCGTTTTTTTTTGCGGATTTTTTCCAGGTCATCCCGATCATTGCAGCCCAAGTTCAGAAAACGCACCTGGATGTCTGATATTGGGAAACCCCGCAATGTTGATGGTTAAAAGATGGTTAAAAGATGTTTAAAAGATGTTGAAAGCATCATTTCTCCTTCAAAGTGACCATTCTTGGACAAACCCCCAGGGTTTATGGATCTGGATCCTTGTCCTTTTTAAAGGTCCCAGATCCATCGCACGGATCTTGGAGAGCGCAGACTTGCCGCAGCTTCAGCTGGGCTTCAGCAGGTTTTCCACGTAGTCAGGTGATTCTTGGAGCCAACATGAGAACAATGCAGTTTGTTCGGAACACGTATCAGGAAGATGTCTTTTTGCCCTGTAGCCTGTAGCACTCATTTCCCGATCACAACACTGCCGCAAGCGCCACGGTTTGCTATCCCAAAGGGAACCCAGCAGGTAGGGTTTCCACAGCTGCATCTGCTTGGTGGCTTTGCTCAACCTTCCCAGCGCATCTCTGATCTGCTCATCACTAACTCTAGCTATTCTTGATGGACTTCACATAGCTGCAGCGATTGCATCATCTCCTTGCCAGTTTGCGAAGTAAAGAGCCCATCTGGCCAAATCACGGTGTTTCAGCTGTGCATACACAGGCCTCACGTTGCTGCGTCAGGGTCAGGATCGCCTACCCGGGTTGGAAGTGAATTGTTCAGTTCATGTGCAAATTTACCCTGGTTTACATGGCTTCTTGCACAGGATGTGTCAATAGGGACTTCGGTCAAGCCCTGCCACGGTCTGAGGAAGACCTGCAGAAATGCAGAGGCGAAGCAACAAGAATAAGAATGTACCAAGATGTACCAAGATGTACAAAAAATCAACGGAAAATGTCCAGAAAATCATCTCCCAAACCCCATGTTTTGGAAACCCCTTGAAAGCCTTGGTGAAAGTCCGGCATCACTCGGTGTAGCCATGGGTGCGGAGAAACGCCTGCAGACGGCGGCATGGTCGTTTCGAGCACCCAGTTTGAAGCCAAGGTGGAACTGAGCGCCGATTTCGAAACTTTTTCACCAGCAAAAAGGCCATGAAAACAAACAACCTCCACTTGTCTCGGATGGTAACACCCCCAATTGCTATGAATTGCTTCCCATTTGCCAATCTCCATCCGCTCATCGGGACCGCCAAATTCCTACCCGATGACTAGCCGCCAAATTGCCTCCCCATCTGCTCTCCCGGCAGCCCAGTACTTCATCATGCGCTGCGGGGAGAACATAAAGGTGCAATCCTTAGAAGCTCCGTGTCGAAGCACAGTGGTAGCCAGCTGTTTGATCCCACGTGGGTAAATGGCCAACTATATTAAGTACATATATCATCTATGCATGAATATGTGTACATATACACCAATCAATAAGTGCTGTACAAAAAAAATGTTGACCTGTCTGTTCGGGTGCCTTTTTTGGGACCGGCACACTCAACCTCTGGGATTAACTTATCGCCGCCAATGGGGTACGCAACAAATGTTGTGTATCACCGGTTGCCCCTACTATGATTCGACAGCTTCCAGATTCCTCTCAAAATTCACAGTAGTTGCTAATATAACCCATTCACCTTCCAGATTACACATCATTTGCACGAGCTATTGGTTTTAAAATCATCCAACATCATATGTGCCTCTATTTCTACGGCCAGCACTTGTGCTATGGCCCAGGATGATTGTTGGAACCCTCATTTTTGGTGACCTTTAGAGTACTCTGTGCCTTCCACTATGTTGGGATGTTATAACTTGATGGCTCTGGGTTTGCGAACCTAGAGCCTTCTTGATGTCTGGCAATACTGGTTTTCGCCACTTTTTACATAAACCCTTAAAACAGACTAGAAAAACCCTAGGAAAAAAATGGAAAAAAACTAAATTCACCCTGAAGAAACCCTAAATGAACCCTAAAAAAAAACGAAAGAAACCCTAAAGAAACCCTGAAAAAACCGTATGAAAGGGGATATAGTGAAGTACCTGTGGGGCGTAGCGCACGTTCTGCGGGTATTTCTAGCAATAGATTTTGGCTTCTAAGCTACCCTACATATATGTACATATATGTATATATATATATGTATATATATATATCATTATATATATATATATAAAGTATATATAAAGTATATATAACATAATAACTAATAATAACTATCAATTTCAAAGCCTTTTCCCATCATTTCCCAAAAAATGTCCCTCCCCTCCGAGACTCCCAGGCCACCAGCGACTGCGCCAGCCGTGGCGCCAGCCGTGGCGCCAGCCGCGGCCCATGGAACCAGGAAAGGCCCAAAGGCCGTCAGTGATCCGAAGGCATACCTGGTAAACTCACAGTTTGCTATGGAAAATGGGGAATTTATAGTTGATTTACCGAACTTTTTAAAAAAATGGTGGATCTTTCCAGGTCGCTATGTTAGTCATTACCAGAGGCTATGCTCTACAAATCATGAAACATAGTCATCCCCAGATGGAAAAGTAGTCATCACCATCAAATTACTAGGGATTTACTTTTCCATCTATTTGGGGATGACTATAGTTGCAACAAATCCGTTTTTAAGATACTTTAAGTGCATGTGCATATGCGCATGGTTCCATACACCTCCATACACGTCTCTGGCAATTCGTCCTATCAATGCTGTACAAGATGCCAATGAAATAATTGCAACAAATCATTTTGTTTTTAATCATTAATCCCTACTTATCGGAATTTTATTCTCCATCTTCATGGGAAATCCCTCTATAAATGGAGATTTCTAGCTGGGAAAATCAACTATAGATGAAGGGTTTATGGATAGTTTGTATAATTCGAAAATCAACTATAAACAGGACAATTGTTCATTATCATGTTTGGGTACAAGGTGGTACCCCCCCGTGAAATGTTTCTTGGTTTAGTTCGTTAGGGATTGCTATAAAATGGTATATCGAACTAGTTGGATTGATAAAGCAAGAAATTTCACTGGCAGGGCAACCACCTTGTACCCATTTTGGTACCAGAATTGTAGTGTTCTCTAAAAAGATAGAAAAGTGGTTTATCACTATCCCAGCAGGATCATACCAATTTCTATCTTTTTGCGGGTTGCTATAGCCCCCCGCACCTGGCTGCGGGCAAATGCTCACGTGCCGCGCGCACACCGGTGCCACAGTCACAGTCGTTTCTCTTTGGGAATCCTCCCGCAGTGGCTGGGGCAAGATCTCAGTGATGCCGCCGTCCTGAGGTTCAGCTGCAAATAGATGGGGAGATGGGATGATTCTGAGATGGTTCCGCGATTCTGGGATAGATGTGCTACAAGCAACCAAAATATTGAGACATATCATGGATACACTGGGATATACATGGATATATGATCTATGGGGATTCTTAGGATACGGTGGACCCCAACCGCTTATCCTAGTGTTTGGTCATTCTTGATGGGGAGAACAATATTGAAAGGTCGTACCCCAACTCTAAGAAACCCGGTATGGCCAGCAAAGATGCAAAATCATGGTTCAAAATCATGGTTTCACCAACACGCAAATGAGGAGTTGCAGCAAGAATGAGGATATACCAGCAGCAAAAAGGATAACATCTTTGGGACTGAAGCAACAAGAAACAGGGTTTAGCAAGTAATGCAGGCCCAGTCAACAAACAATAAGGATCATCAACACAAATTGGGACTTGATATTCAGGATATTATAAACGGCAGTGATCCACCTCTACAGTCAAGAACAACTGATCGAAACACTATCAGCATTGGTTCCTTCATCATCATCACCATCAGCAGCAGCACAATCTGTTTCTTCGTCTTCATATTCATCAGCATGGATCAAAAGATTAAAAAAACACACAATCATTGCAAAAAAAGAAAAACGTCAACATCCATCAGCAATCTGAACTTCGACATGGCCAAGGCGGCCAAGGCTCCCAGTGTGGCTCGCCCCTCACCTCCACTCCTGGCATTTCGAGATTTCTCCATGGCTCCGACAGAAGCTGCGTCAAAGGCGAAATCCAGGAAATTGAGTTCCATCAGAAATGGCGGTTCCATCATTGTCTTGTAATTTCAGTGCCTTTAAAACAACCCCAAACAAGTTCATTGCTCTACATTTCTCCAGTTGCCACCGTTCCCATCCTCACCCTGGGTACCCTGGCCTTCATAGGCGAAGGACGAGGACGCCTGCAGGATTCGCACCAGTTCCTCATTGGAATCGAAGGAGGAGTAGGTGACCTCAACGACGCCACCCGGCAAATGAAATTCTCGGAAAAAAGTCTGTGTAAGATACGTACATATGTATAGATAATATACATATACGTTGTGGTTATATAATGTTATATACATATATGTGTGTATATACTGAAATATAAGATTGCAAATATGTGTATATTGTAATGCGAATTGGGATGAACTAACTGTGATGAACAGCAATTTTGGAACCAACCATCGAGGAGTTACGTGAGTTGCGTCCCCAGGCACCGGCTCGCTGTTGCGGAACATGCCACCTGGCAAGGCAAACGGCTCCTCAACCGGACTGATTTGGGGCCATTTGGATCCATTTGGGGTCAGATGGGTCAGGTTTCAATCATCGACCATTTCAGGAACCCAGGTGAGTTTGGATTTGACGGTGCCTGTCAGCCCCCACTGGTATTGTGTGAGATGAAATCCACCAGGCAAATATGGAGGTCTCGCATGATGCCATCACACTTCGCAACAAAAAACTCGGGATATCCAGCAACAATTCGCGAGCATAAGCAATCATCATAATGTCACACGCGGTATATTGACCCTTATCCAGCAAGAGGGGGCTACAAACCAATTCTTGTTCAGGCGTTGATTCCAATTGGGGGCTGAAAATGGGGGATACCGGGATACTGTGATACCCCAAGATCGCCATGGTGCATGGCAAACAATTGCAGCTGGTGGTACAGTGGTACCACATTTTCAGACAAGTCATTCTGATGGAATTTTTGTGGCACCCGAAAATTGGAGATCCAAAATCCTAGCCATAAATAGGCCATCGTGGCATGTTCACAAAATCAAATTATGGTGTCACCCCCAACCTTGTTGGTCAAATGCTCTGTCCGAATCCATCAACACCTAAAATCTATTAAAATCTGGTGTCTGGAAAAGAAACCTAATACATCTGTTTTACATTTAGTACAAACACCACTTTTCTCTAGTAAAATGTTTAGTTTTTGCAAGGTTCACTTTGAGAAATCGTGTGTCTGTGAAAATTGCATGTCATGTTCAATCAATCCTTGTCAAACATACCCTCCAATAATTTCACCTCGTTTTGGAAAATCACCATGTTTTTTCTATAAATCATCCACTATCACAGGCCGTTTTTCCATAGTTATATCAACTATTACTGGGAAATGTTCAAGAAAATCCTACATACCAGCAAGGTAAAAATCCTTCCCCACCGTCGCCTTTGGTACACTGCACATGGAGGCGCCCACTGAGTTGCCAGAAAGCATCCATCGGCATGGCGCCAGATTCCTGTGGGGATGAGATGGATGGAAGGTGGCCATAACTTGGGGGATTCCTAGGGACTATTTCTAAGGAAACACATGGATTTTCATGGATTTCCTAACGGGTTATAGTCTTCGCGTTTGAGAGTATTTTCGGGGTTGTTAGGTGACCACTTCACGGCGTTGTTCTTTGGATTATGAAAGGTGCCCTGGAAACAGTGGTAGGCCGACACGAATGTTGGCACAACTCGCTGATGTTTGGCAATTTTGCATGTCCATCACTGGTTGTATACCCATGTTTACTGGAGAGACCCAAATAGCTTGGTGGTTGAGATCTTCATGTAGGGTGGTTACATGCAGAGTTTCACCTCTTGTTGGTTTCGTTCCCCATCCTAACAAGGAACCATCGTTTCCAAGGCCTTTTGACGATCCATTACATCAACTCCTTCAAAAGATTTCACGAATCAGCAACCCCAAAGTTCGCTGATTTCAGTCCCCACCATTGCCGGTTGCATCGGTTGCATCGGTTGCATCGGTTGCATACCCATGCTCCTCAAGACTTCATTGATCATTTGTCAATTATTGATCATTCGAGCTGACGCGATCAATTTCCGACCTTTCATCCCTGCACGTACGGAATTGTGCTACGAAAATCATCCGGAGAATCACTTCAAAGCCGAGATAAGTACGGTCCAAGGCAAACATTTCGGTAAGCAGGACATCGCCTTCACTCACGTCATGGAAAGTAGAAACTTGCCGCGCCACAAAGTCATCTCCGTGCTGCTGCGCCGTCTCCAGTGCGTCATTGAAGCTGGTATCTGGAAAGGCCCTCACGACGTCATCTCGTTGAAGACGCTGGCCGGGTCCATCGTATACCATACCTTGCGACACTTGTCGTGTCCGACAACCACCCGGCGTTCAGCCTGATTACAACTCGCCAAAGCGCTGACCCCTGCGACTCAAGGTCCATTCTGGGAACGGTGGATGCATGCGACCAGGAAAAAGCCTCAAGACCGCGCGCATGCGAAGAAGCACCGAAGGATTCAAAGCTGCAGCGCGCGTGGCGCTCAGAGCTAAGCAAGGCAGCCAAACAAGGTACTCCTCAATGAGACATAAACGCTTTGAGTATCCAGCAACTTGGCCATTTCTCTCGCCCCTAAAAGCGCAGAGAAGCATGCCAAGCTCTGAGAACCAGATACGCCTGCAAATCAATCCATGCAACAGAGGGAACACAAGTTAACCTCTCTTCTGTACCTATCTCTGTCTCTCTCGTCGTCTCGCTCTTTCTATGCGCCCCTCTCCCACTCTCTCTCTCTCTCTCTCCCTCTCTCTCTCTCTCTCTCTCTCGCTCTCTCGCTCTCTCGCTCTCTCGCTCTCTCTCTGTCTCTCTCTCTTTCCCTTTCTCTCTCTCTCCTTTCCATCCTTCTCTTTGGTTGTCTGTGTTACCAGATCTCCTCTTCTGGCTGCTCCTAAAGCAAAACTACAAAATGATCACAGCCGAATGCCACTCATAACACTGGTCACTACAAGCCCGCCACCTATATATGCAGCAAACCCCGGGCGCACAGGGCACAGGGTTTTTTGTTTCCCTCTTGGGTTCCTGGCTGGGGGCTTGTTGGCGTGCTTTGCCACTTTTGGTGCCTTGTACCGGGTCAGAGGAAGGGATCGTTGCCGGGGGAGCCCAAAAAAAGCTGCGGGAGGAAAAAGATGTGGAATGCAGGAAAGTACTGGTGAGGTCTCGGTTCAAAGATGTTTTTTTGCTTCCTCAGGTTCAAACACTTCTCGAACATGTTGGCCCTCAAAATTTGACCCTACCCTCCCAAACGAAAGAACACATGCACGACAAGAAGTTTGCGACGACCTTCCCAAGCAAAAGAACTGATGCAAGAGAAAGAACTTTGGGACCTCCCAAGGGAAATTACTTTATGCACAATAGGATGGGGCGGCCCTCCAGCAGCCTCTGTCAAAGGAACGGGGACACCTGGCTAAGAGGAAAACCAAAAACCAGACCTTTTCGGAACCCTAGTTCTCCCTACTATTTCTTTTTTATCCCCCGCAAGCCAGGCTACCTCCTCCACGACTGGCTCCCCGCACGGGGCAGTTGCTTCAAAGTAGACGTCCCCGGCAAACAAAAAACATGCCTTTGGGCCTAGCAATCTTGGCCAATCTCCACACACAAACAAACCCTGCCTCTTGAACCCACTGAAAAGGCAGAGAACATGACTTGACAAAATCTGCGGATATTGGTCTTACACCGAAATTCCAAAACCTAATGCTCTGGATTTGTGCCAAGCTGGCTTCTCACCTGTTCATCTCCCCTTTTCAACACAACATCGGAAACAGTATGTTTTGCGATTTCACAACATGATGCAGGACATACCATCGAAAACACATCTACACATGAATCAGGTATGAAGCCTCTCGCATCAGTCCCTCAAAATTTTGGCTCATGTTTGCACATATCTTTGTCTGTCTCAAAACAACTGCGTATAATTCACTCGGCCTCCACATGGCCCGGCTTCAAGCAGCATGTCTCCCATAACAAGATCCGACAAAACAAATTAACCTGCCAGCCAAATTGCACATGATGCACAACCGTCTTTGAGTTCAAGCCTGCTTTGGTCGCACCTCTAGAAGGCGCTGTACTGCAGGCTTCGCCTCATCTAGTCGAAACAACATTCCGAGGACGAACACAGCCCATGCACGGTTCGCACGCTGCTCCCAGGCTTGCCTGTTCAAATTGCAAAATGTAGCGCCTTGTTTCCCTTCCTGTACACGCGCGAACGAAGGAAAAATCACATCAAATAGGTTCGTATTCGAGCGTTCTACAAATCCAAACGGGAAGCGGCCGGTTCCTCGGCCACCATGCGCGCAGAAAAGCTCGCATTGTCGCAAGCTGCCGCCACGAAGCACCCCCGAACAGAGAAACGCGAAGATGTACCAACATGAGGTCAATGGGCCAATCCGGTAAACAGGCCTCCTGCCATCGCAAACACTCCTCCCCAGCAACCTCGAAGGCCACGCCTCCGTCCAGCAGCTGCTAGTGGTAGCATGACAAGAATCAACACACCCGTTGCAATCGATTGCCCCGCTCCTTGAGCAGAGGTGACAGGAGGAGTTTCTGGCTGTTGCGGCTGCAACTGCCACAGCCAGAAAATGTAGGGCCTGCTTTCCATCCCGGCAGCAGAATTTCACTGAACCTCATTGGAACACGTCTCATAGATATCGCCCCGGCGCGACATGGCAAGTGCACAAGGCCTCGAGTTACTGCACTGTCTTGAGCTCCAACACAGTGCTTCCGGGCACAACACAGTTGAACATGCCATCAGGCGCACCGAAACAGCTCTTCCCATTCGTGCGCACGCATTTGTGATTAAACCCAACGATCGTCTTCGGGAAAAAACAACCAAAAACAATTCATTTTTAGAGCACTGCTCCAGCGCTTGCAGCTGCCAGGAATAGCTCGGAGCCCCCTACAACGTAACCAACAAAGCAACAAAGAAAAGAACGAAGCCAAGCTGGGTATATACACAAAGCTTTCTTTTAACCACCCTTGACATCTTAGGAAACACCTTTGCTCATGCACAATGAAAACAAAACACAGACACTTTTCTCGATACACACCGATCAACATTCTGCAGTCGCCGCCCGCGTGCGGCAGCACCCATGGGTCACGCTTGTGCACTTGCGCGACCCAGCAACAAGAGTATAGCAAAGAACGTGTGCAGGAGCATGTTTCACCTCCTAGCTTTGCAAAGATGCAATCTGTAGCAATCTGTACAACACACTCACATCCACAACCACATAGCCAGCACCGCCCTGAACCTTCGTTCAGCCGCGCAGCAACTGCTAGATCCGTGGCCCAACATGTTTAACAGTCCAACATATTTCCAAGATTTTCCTTTTGGTTGATATCTCCCAGATTCGATTAAAAAAACATCAGGAACTTCCAATACTGTAAATCAATGTAAAGACATGTTTTCCTACGCATATATATATATGCATAGATATACAGTATATATAATTATATACATGTTTCTAAATGTACATATGTACTATGTCTGCAGACATATATGCATATATCGTTGGTAGACATACACCTTGTTCTTGGTTCTACCCCATGTTTGTGGGTGAAATCCCCCAACATGAGACTGCCCATTGCCTCCACTGCGCGCGGAATGAGGCGCGCTGGGTCCCAAAGTTCCGCCAAAGTCAGGCTGCGGAAGGCTAAGCCACTCTCCAGGTACGCCTGGGTCATGGTATCCTGATTCTATAGGTCCCCAAAGGAATAACAATGAATTGTTTTAAATCACCAGCAACACAATCACCAGCAACATTTAAGGTTTCCTGTGAAATCCTAGGGTATGTATGTGAACATATGTGAACAATCCATGTGTGTGTTTTTGTATGCGTGTGCGTATCCATTTATGTATTGTGTAAATATATATATACATACATGCATGCATCCATCCATCCATACATACATACATTACATACATACATTTGTATGTATATATATATATATATACGTATATACATGGATATGGGTGTACTTGTGTGTGCAGGTATACGTACACGTATACGTATCTGTATATCTTGAGTAAACCTTTGCGGGAAATGGTCTTAGGGAGATGGTGGATCAGTAGACCATCCCATGAAGTTGGTGTATGACCCAACAGGGTGGGTCCCAACATGAAACCCCTAACAATCTGCATATACATTGGTAGGTCTTGGTATACATTGGTAGGTTTTTGTATATGTTTGAAGAATGTGCATATCTGTATATAATATGTATATATATATATTATGTATCTTAGCATTTGAAGGCCTATCTATTGTATATGTCTAGCAGAGAGGTCTCTACGAACCTGCGCATGTTGCTGCGGAAAACAGTCCCTGCGCCTCGGAAAAGAAAAAGGTGTTTACTATTTAGCTGATATAGCTGATATATTTTGTCAAGTACAAGGGTGGAGTCTTTAGATTTAGATCACATTAAGACTTAGATCAGATTAAGAGTTGATTTTGAGTTATACCAGATTTATATCGATTTAGATCAGATCAGATTTAGACTTAGATGCGGGTTTAGCTTCAGGTTTAGATGTTGATTTACCCTCTGGTAAACTAACATAGCTATGGAAATAGCCATTTTTAGTTGATTTACCCATTAAACATGGTGATTTTCCCTAGTTATGTAAAGGTTTACCAGAGGATAATTGCAAATATAACCAACAGGCCAACATGGGAGTTAGAGGTGGAATCTGGGTTCATTTACTTGATGTACAATGAATCCTTCCCGCTCCGCCGCTCCGCCCCTGCCTTCACCTTTTTGAGCCCCTCCGCGCCCGTCAGCATCAAGGCACCCACTAGGGCTCCGCCGCTGCAGCCTGCGAGCTGTCAGAAATAGATCCCACTAATATCCATTATGGTCCATTAAACATCATCAAACCCCCATTGAATCTTGAAATATCCCATGAAATTCCATGAAATCCATGAAATATCCCCATATCCCATTCATATCCCATGAAATCCTCCATTGTTCATGGTTAAATCCAGAAACTTCGGACCAATTCCAGACGTTCCCGGATGTTTCCCCATCGCACCGTGCACCGCATCCACTCTGGCCATGAAGCGCTGGTTCTGCAGCAGAGCTTCAGCCACACCAGCCTGGACAAACCACTTAGTCTCTGAGGTTAGGATGGACATCCGCTGTTGTGATTGCGGTGATTTGATGATATGAGAACAGTTGGATGTCAGTATATACCACATGGACAGATTATCAGAATCCGTGAAAAGAGGGTTTTGAATCTGCTCATATGGTGAGAGATATGGTGAAACAGGGGGGTCATGGTAGACAATATAATTGGATGAGTTTACCCTCTGGTGATGACTAACAGTTTGCTATGGAAAATCAAAAAATGTTTGACAGGGAGAGTCATCGAATGTGTTTGCAACAGCTTCCCAGAAGAAACCAATCAACTACCGCCCCTCAGACTCTTTTCCCAGCTCAGGTCAGGAAACTTTGAGCCAAGAATTGCCTTGTTGCCCTTAGTATAGCTATGCAAACTGGAAAATGACCAGCCCTTTTTTTTGTCGGCCGAAAAGGTCAGGGAACTCACAGGGGGCCTGGTAGACCAGCAGCAGCGCAGAGGACGAGAAGCAAACAGCCACTTTACCAGAGGCATCACACGGCGCCATGCTGGGAAAAGATGCAGAATCTATGTATATATATATATACATGTATATATAATGTTGTAACATATCTTTAATTTTTTAAAAAAAGTAGGTGTTGCAAATTGAAGATTAAATGCATGAATATGTATATGTATTCAGCCAATGTTTGCTTTCACTTGTTTTTACTCCCACCGGCTGCAGACCCCAAAAGCTTCACCTAGAGGAATCCCTCAAAATGAAAAGAGAAAACACCTGTCAGCTGTGGCACCATCATACCTGAGTATGGTTCAGAATTTCACGCACCCAACCCATTCTTTGCTAGGTCATGTGTCATGCTAACCCTCTAAAGTTTGGGGTTACAAAAAGTACCCACTCTCCGTTGAGCTGGAACTCCTTTGAACTTCGATCCTGGCCCCAAGAACTTGGTGCTTTCAACGGCTAGGCTCCGGCACTCGAGTGAGTCGAAATTGAACTGGTAAAAGTCATTCCTGACAGCCAAAAGATGGAGAACCCTGTTTGTGTTGAGGGGATCGACTAGAACAGGAAAAAAATAAAGCCATGAAAATGCGGATACAACCAGCAAAATGGGAAGATAACAGCACTGGGAGTGTATACATATATAATAGTATGTATTTATAATATAATATATTATTTATATATATATACATAAGTATATTATATATATGTGTGTGTGTATCATATATCCAACATTCCAATTGCAAACCCCAAACAAGCCATGGGATTCCCGCTTCCAATACACAGACCATGTTGATGGATGATCGGTCAATCCCTGTAACTTGGTGGGGCTTCCCTCCAGGGTCCAGGGCATCAGTTGACCAAGTCGCAAATGCTTGGCACCATCATGACCACCCACCACCAGCATGCGGTTCTTGTACCTCGAACCAATGCTGGAGTTGGGGATAGATCTTGTCATGTACCCTTAAAAATGCCACAGCTTTAGAGGGCGCGAAAATCAAGGGGACAACAAAAGCGGGTCTTGGTGGCCCTTTTGAATCTTACCTCGTATTCAAACCATTGAGGTTTCTCCGTTGAAACTCACCAAGTTGGTCAGCTGTGGGTCTCCTGTGGTCGAAGAACTGAAAAATCGCCAGTTTCTTCAGCTTGCATCGGTGTCTGATCTCCGTCCGATTTGTTGCCCAAAAGGGGAAAAAATTGGGCTAGGGTGCCAAATACCACGATAGATACTCCCTGCAAGACATTGAACATGGCAACGGAAAATCCGACATTTCTACAGTAAATTGCATGACCTGTTTGAAGGGGAGACTTTCTGTTGCCATGGCATGTTTCATGACCAGAGGTATAAGTGTGGCAGTATTAACCACTAAGATTCCCATGTCTTTACAACTAGTTAAATCCCCATGTGTTTGATGGTATATCCTCATAAATCCCCATGTTTTCTGTTTGATGATTAAATTCCCCGGTGTTTCACCACTTCGCCATCGAGCCAGCCCCATCGGGCACGCGACAGCTGAAGTCCTATACCGTGCCTTTGGCACTGAGCCCTTCACTGGAACGATGGACCTGGCGTCGAACCAAAAGCACGGTGAATCTCGAAACGGCGATTCATCGGAATTCCACGGAGAAGTCCCTTTTTTTTTGGGTATGAATAATGAAACTTATGCCTTATAGCCTAGCCCATTTATAGATGGATTAACCCACTGAGGTTGGATGAGAATGGATGTCACTTGAAAAACTCCATGGTCAAACAATGTCACAAGACCCTCAAAATGACCAGCTGCGACCAGCCGCGTCACATCCAATCCGACTGGTTTCCGCACCACTTCCGCTGTGGGAAGTTGTAGCGGTGAAAGTCACTCCTGGCTCAGCACTGCAAAAGGGTGTGTCTCAAAATGGGGTGTGCCTCAAAAAAGTATTTGTTTAATAGGAAATTAGTGATATAAATGATAAACCATTTTTTGGCACCTTGTTTTCAGAAAAAACAAAAACAAAAGGTGTTTCCAAAACATGAAAAGCGAGAAAGTATGA